TAGATAGATAGATAGATAGATAGATATAGGGATGGATGGATGTAGAGGTAGGTAGGTAGATAAGATAGGTAGGTAGGAAGGAATGTATGTAGATAGAGAGGTATGTATGTATGTATCCCCTTCCCCCCTTTGGTTGTTAGCCGCCCCATGTCCCTCGGGAGAAGGGCGGAATACAAATTAAATAAACATGTATGTATGTATGTATGTATGTATGTAGGTAGGTAGGTAGGTAGGTAGGTAGGTAGGTAGGTAGGTAGGCAGGCAGGCAGGCAGGCAGGCAGGCAGGCAGGCAGACAGACAGATTAGATAGGGATGGATGGATGGATGGATGGATGGATGGATGGATGGATGGATGGATGGATGGATGGAGAAGATAGAAGAGAAGTAGAGATGGAAGTTGAATAGAAAGAGATAGATCGAATGGATAAAATGGATGGATGAATAGATGGAGAGAGAGAGGGAGAGATGAGAGAGAGAGAGATGAGAGACAGAGAAGATCAGAGATAGAAAGATAAGGTGACAGATAAAGGTAGAAGATGGAGATGGAGGCAGGGATAGAAGATATCGAAATATACACACTCATTCTTTGTGTCAGGCAACCACTTTTCTTCTTCCACTTTGGCCATTGGTGCATCTGTCCTTCTGCTATTAGCTCTTTCCTCATTCCTCACCCCACCCCGCCTCACAACCCTGCTCATTTCAAGCATAACATTTCAGTGCCCATTAGAACACTATGCCTTTTTTTCTCCCCACTAGCCCCCCATGTCTTTCCTGTCAACTGATCTGGGCCTGGGTCCATCCACAAGCAGCACGCACCCCAACTTGCCTCTTTTGCAACCCCTGAAGGCAAAGCCGGGAAGAAGCAGCAGCAAATGCTTGCCAGGGGGGGGTGCTTCTTGCGAGCTCCCGCCGTCCCTCCTGCACGAGGGGGGGAAAAAATCTCTCCATTTTGTTTGAGGGGCCTAATGCGTCGCGCCCGCCTCCCCATGCCCCATTTGTGCTGCTGGCGCCTCCGATCATGACTTGCACGGATGAGAAATTAAAGCCGAACTCTGCCAATTGTAAATCAATGACAGAGGCCGTAATGAGCGAGTTTCCAACCCTTGCCCTGGACAGCCTCTGTCAGCTATTGTCACAGGAGGCCTCCCACCACCGACCGGGA